TCATACGGTTCCTTAGATATCGGTTTCGTATTTATACAAGTTGCTGCGGAAACTGTTCGTCAATTGTTGTGTATTCTAAATGGAAAGACCAAAAAATCTGCATTCTTATAAGATTGCACTAAACCGCGAAAATTATTTTATTAATATCTCGTCTCTTAGGTATCCAAATTAGTCATAATTTTTTTTGAGGATTTTCTTCATATTAATAAGCTAATATTATTTTTTTTATGAATACTTGTTCGTCAATTCCAAATCAGATAAACCTTCTTAAGGGGAGGGGAGTCTTTCCTATAAAGTTTTTATCTAGGGCGCCTCAGATTTTGGACAATATTAACATAAATACATGTGTCCAATTTCACATTATTATATCAATTTAAATTATTTAAAAAAAATTAAAAATATTTTGTTTAAGTTTAACACCCTATATCTTTTAACGCAGCGTCCTAAATAAAAGGGAGAATACGAGGTTTCATTTTTGGTCATCGTTTGTGAATCGCCCTGTATAATAAACATAACACAGGGTCTGTCGCGTAAATTTTATCTCTATGATTTTTTGTACGGGGTGAGTTTCAGTAGTTGCTTTTCTCATTGCATACATTTTTTACTTACCTCATTGCAATGATAATTCGCAAATGTCGCCTTTGATGCAGTTAATTAATTTGTATATGTCAAAACATCCATCGCAATATTAATACAAACAAGGGTTCGAAATTAAATTGCAAAATGTCCAGTAATTTCCATTTATTTGTCTCTAAAAATACAACATACAAAAAACAGAAGAATCACAAAGGAAAACCAAAATAAACAAAATATATTGTTTATTAAATTTTTATAAAACAACAATATTTCATTACAGTGAAATGGAGGCAAATTCAGGTCATACACTACACTTTGTTATATTGATTTTGTTATCAAATATTGCGATGAAAAGATGTCATTACCTAAGTTCGATGGATAACTAGGAACAAATTCTGAAAATATTGCCGTATGACATCATACCATAAGTCTAAATACTAAACGCAAAATTAATTTCTGACATTGCAATCAACATTGTCATTTTGAATTATTTCCAGCAAGGTCTGTTACCACATTATCATTAAACTTTGGCATTCATCTGAAAGATGGCGTTAAAAGTTCTAGTTATAGAAAGCTTGTGATTTTCGATTTGATCGTTGTACTCAAGTTTTGAGGTCAATCCAACGCCAATTTGAAAATATTAAATGGACACTGGACACTGTATATTTTATTCCAGCAATCGTTATAGTACCAAATTTTACGTCCGATTGTGGGATTAGAATATTTTTCCAAAAGAATTGTGGAGGAAAATGTTTCAAGCAAAATGTGTAAGATTTTGAATGACAAATTAGATGGTGACCTTGATTTAAACTAACAGCTGATTAAATCTTCTAGAACGGCTTCTCACCAAATCTTAATGTGTTTAATTTCAAAATTGTTATCAAGATCGTATTAATAGTTTCAACCGAATATGTCTAGATTAAAATCCATTATTTTTATATCTATTATTATTTTTTGAAAAATGTGTTTGATCTTGAATTGACCTGAAAGGACATACAGTAAAAAATTGCTAGCATGAAAAATAAGCTGTTTTATTTGACATTTTCAAGTTGACCTTACCTTGACCCTGAAATTTAATGTCAAGGTGAAATTCAAGGTCACCAAAGCAGCCTAAACAGAAAGTTTCGTTCGTTCGGTGAAAATATGAGGCGGCATCTATGGCAAGTCAGACTATAAAGACATTGTGGAGAATATACTTAAAAAAAAACTATACAAAAGTACAAAAAAGACAACTATTTCTTAATCTTACTTACTCCTATCGTGCCCAAAACACTTAAGTATGCTTGAAGTGTCCAGTTTATACACTCACTAAAATCTTGTTCAAATCTTGGGATCGGTAGCCCTTAAATCGGCGAATTTCTCCGACAGCTCCCACAGCTTCTTGGCCTTCGACTCATCGGTAGCCCCGCTACTCAGTGCCCTCTCTGCGCAGTCCATGAAATACTTTCCAGTCACCCCCTCGACTTCCTCGGAACAAGCCAGGAATACGCTGGTCTGGCACCCCTGCGCCGGGGTCTTGAAGAACCCCTTGACTATCAACTTCAAGGGGAGATTAAGAGGGAACGGCACGTTCCTCCATATTCCGGAATTTATCATTCCCGGATGGAGACAGTTGGCCGCGACGTTGGTGCCTTCCAAGCGACGAGCGAGCTCCAGGGTGAAGCAGATGTTGGCGTATTTGGACACGTAGTAGTAGTAGGCCGGGCACCAGGAGCTGGTGGGGTTGATCTTGTTCAGGTTCAGGGACGCGAGTCTGTAGAGCTCGGAGGCCACTACTACTATTCTGGAGGGCGCCGATTTCTTGAGCAGATCTGAAAAAATCGTTTTATTTCATAAATAGCAGCAAAAAGCAAAGCAGAGAAACCAAATTGGTTTATTTTTTTTTTAAATCAAGCTCTAGCTTGTGCAATCAGTTATTCTACTCGTATCTTTAATAGTTTCCGAGAGACCTTTCAGGATATTGAATAAATTTCTTTCAATAAGCATCTATGTTATACAGTCTTGAATAAGTGGTCTCCGAACGGACCCTGGAGGGAGCCCACGCGAAAAATTTTATGTTTGTACCTACCTATGAGCAAATGCGTTAGAAGGAAGGGTCCGAAATGGTTAGTAGCCATGTTTATTTCCACGTCGTCTTCGGTTTTCTTGAATTTGGATTCCGCCGTACCGGCATTGTGGATGAGTACGTCCAATCTAGGTTCTGTTCTTATAACGTCTTCAGCGAACTCTCTGATGGACTTTTGCGAGGAGAGGTCTAATTTTTTAAGTATCACGTTGTCGTTTTTGGTGGTCTCCGCTATTTCATCTGAAATTGACGATTATTTTCAGATAACCTTGTACAATAACATCTTAAAAATTGTAGGTATGGATTTAAATGTTTAAGTAAATAAAATCCGATGTAAAGATCAAATTAGTAGAGACAGTTTCCAAAGATTATCGATTTGGATAGATTTTTTTGTTTCTTCAATAATGCTATAGATTTTTCCATAGAATAATATTTATTTTTATTTAAGGACGGGATTTTGTACAAAAAATATCGCCCAGCGTGAGTCACGAAACGGGACCCCGGCAGGTGCTGTTCTAGCGGCCAACGCTTCAAGTCTAATAATTCCGCTGCACCGGATATTCGTCCGATTTTTCAGGAACGGCTCCAATTTGTGTACATACAATCTTATAAGGAAAGAGAGTAAATATTTTATTAATCAGTAATAGATTATCGAGGACAATAATATTTTTTTATTGAGTAGGCAATAATTTTTAGTTAATAAGCTTAAACAATCTTATAATTACTATTCCTTCATTATAAAAACAGAAATACGGTTTTTAAAATTACATGTAGTTTCTTCTTCAAAAGTGACCTTAAAACACGTATAACATGGAATAGTCAACAGTCTAATGTTTATATTTTCACATTAACAATCCGATAATGTAAATTAACTGCTATTTTCAGTAAAAAAATATATACCTAACCTGAAATATTTTTTTACTTTGGCGAGTCGTATTAACTTAAAAACACTGCTTAATTACTAAAATATATAGAATCTTGCTA